AGAAAGAGAAAGAAAAATACCATATGGTATCATTTATATATGGAATCTAAATAAAAGGGACATAAATGAACTTATTTACAAAATAGAGACAAGCTCACATACATAGAAAACAAACTTATGGTTAGCAGCGGGGAAGGGAGATGAGGAAGGATAAATTGGGAGTTTGGGATTTGCAGATATTAACTATTATATATAAAGTAAATAAACTACAATGTCCTAGTGTATACCTTGTAATAACATGTAATAAAAAAGAACATGAAAAGGAATATATATATATATATATGTATAACTGAATCACTATGCTGTATATCAGAACTTAACACATTATAAATCAATTATACTTCAATACAAAAATAAATAAATAAACTAATGGCAATTTAAATCATATATAAAAACTTGACTTCTTTATACATTCCCCCCTTTTTAGTTATTGATGTCACAGATTACATCTTTACATATTGTATACCTGTTAACATAGATATCTAGCTATTTTTGTTTTTGTCATTTAAATTCTACACGATAATTAAAAGTCAATTTATATACCAAAATTAGAATAATGCAGGTTACTACCTTTTGTTCATGTATTTACCTCCGGCTGGGTTGTTTTAATCTTTATTTTCTTTTATTTAATGAATGATGTTCCAGTTCCCGCAAGGCTGCATTTTCCTATGTATTCTTATAATAAATTCCCTCTCACTGATATACTCTGAGAATACATTTAGTCCTTGAAAATTGAGTCCAATGAATTAAAATCTTTCTCTAGTTTTTCCCCAACTGATTGGCTTAAAAAACAATGAATGGCATAAATACATAAAAGTTTTATTACTATATAACTGTCATACTGAAAATTAAATTTTGTCCTAATTTTAAAACTTAACCCATTAAAAGCATCACAGGCTTTTGAGAAGGAACTGAAACAGAAAACCACTAGTTTAGACATTTAACTGATAGAAACATCAAAAAAATAATCAACATTGACACTTAAAATAGTAAACCTTGGGAAGGGAAAATCCTTGAAATACTACAGGTTTGATGTCTGTTTTCTTCTAGATAAATTTTCTGATAACTGTCAAGATTTGAGTCTGGCAGGGGAAAAAAAAGAGCTAAGAAATACTTTAATCTTAGACTAATTTTAGAAATAGAAAATAATAATATACTGTAGAAAATTGGGTGGTAGGGGGAGGTAAATCAACAGAAAAAAATTACCTCTGTGCAACTACATTTTTATTTGTAAGTATTAATTTCTGTTTTTATAGTCTCTGAAAAAGAAGAATGCCCTTGGAGCACTGCAATTTGCACAAGTTAATTGGATTTTTTCAATACAGTATTCAGAGGACAGTGTCTTGAAAATAAATTTTTATTCAGAATAGGCATCTTCAAGTGGAAAATTAAAAGTATGTAATTGAGATATAAAACTGTCATGAATAAATACACAAAAACACCCACAAAAAATTTAATCCTTTTTTGTGAATTTCTACTTTAAAGATGAATATATACGAGTTTGAGCTGGACTAGTAGAGTATCTACATGTTTGGTCCAAATATCTAAATTTTTTTTAATTTACAAATTTTGTCATTTTCAGTTGCTCTAAAATACACTGAATAGGTCCTGAGATAATTTCATGGAAGTGTAAAATAATTGACTTCTGTGTTTTAGACATGTTTGGGGAAGAATTTAACCTTAATGGAACAGAATAACTAAAACTAAAGGGAAAGACTGACATTATACCCACATTATCTAAGTACAGAAATCTCACTATAAATAAAAAGACCTAAATAATTTAAAAGGGTGGAAAATTATACGTCATGCTAACACTAATTGTTAAAAAATCCTCTAAAGGCTATATTATATCAGAAAAAATGAGGTTTTAGAAGGGAGTATATTATCATGGATAAGGAAATGCATTTTATAATCATGAAAAGTAAACATAACAATCCTAAATGTTTGTGTATCTCATAACATAGCTTCAAAACACATGAAGCCAAAACTGACAAAACTGCAGGGTAAACAGATCGAGAATATAGTCAGAGATTTCAGTACTCTTTTTTCAATAATTAATAGGACAGAGAGAAATTCAGTAAGGGTATAAAAGAATTAATCTACAATATGAACAGCTTGACCTAGTAGACATTTGTAGCACACATCACCTAACAATGGCAGAATACACATTCTTTACTAGCACAATGAACCATTTGCTAAAATAAATTATCTTCTGTTCTGGGCCATTAAGCATGCCTCCACAAATTGAAAATGATTGAAGTCCTATGAAATGTGTTCTCTGACATCAATGGAGTTAAATTACAAATCAATAACAAAAATAAATCTGGAAAATTCCTAAATACTTGGAAACTTAAAAAAAATCTATATAATCCATGAGTTAAAAAATAACTGAAAAAGAATTGAAAATATTTTGAGCTGAATGAAAATGAAAGCACAGCATATCAAAATATGGAGTCCGCAGCTAAAGTATTATATACAGAAAAACTTATAGCATCAAATACAGGTATTAGAAAAGAAGAAAGATCAGTAACCCAAATCAGTAACCTTAGGGTAATCTTAGAAACTAGAAAAAGAATAGCAAATAAAGCCCAAAATAATCAGAATGAAGGAAACGAAATGAGCAGAAATCAATGAAACAGAACATAAATAACTGTAGAGAAGAATCAGTGAAACCAAAATCTGGTTCTTGCAGAAGATCAATAAAATTGATAAAACTCT